CCAGAATTAAAAAACAGGAAATACAAATATTAAAAACAATTAATATATATATAAATTTGGCCCAAAATTAAAAATACAAATCAATTAAAACATTTAAAATTTCTTCTTAAGCCAGCCCGGCTTGCTGGAAAAAGTGGGTTTTAAGGACGCGGCGGAAGGCGCTAAGGTCTTGGATTCTCCTTATCTCTGGGAGCAACTGATTCCAGAGGGTAGGTGCCCCCACAGAGAAAGCCCTCCCCCTGGGGGTCACCAGCCTGCATTGATTGGCTGATGGCACCCTGAGGAGGCCCTCTCTGTGGGAGCGCACGGGACGATAGGAGGTCGTTGGTAGCAGCAGGTGGTGTCGAAGATAGCTAGGCCCGATGCCATGGAGCGCTTTAAAGGTGATAACCAGCACCTTGAAGCGCACCCGGAAGACCACTGGGAGCCAGTGCAGCTCGCGCAGGAGCGGTGTTACATGGGAGCGCCATGCTGCTCCCATCACTACCCTAATAAACAATATTAGTTGTTTATATGAGGTGGGAAAGTCCAACAAGAATTAAATAGCTCAGTTAACAAAATCATCAATGAAAAGGCTTTAAAGGAAATGCACTTTAACAACCCCATTGATACTCGGATGGAGCCCCAAACTAAGCCCTGGTTGAGCCTATTCACTTTATAAACTCCCGCCAAAACTTTAGTGTAAACTCCACTCCCTCGGTTTGGTGAATACCTTCCTTCCCTTGGCCAGGTATCCTGGCATGTCCTTCATAAGTGGGAGGAGGTACATATTTTCCATGCAGATCTATTAATCCCTCAAAAATCCATGCATAATCACAAACAATCATCTTTCTTTGAAGAGCACCAGGGCTGTCATCCTGGATTTTGCTGGTTGGATAAAGCCCCTAGCTAGATTTTTGTCCACAAAGTTTCTGAGCTCCTCTGTCTCTCTTGGAGTCATTGAATACTTCATGTGCTCTTGATTCTCTCCTTCTGTTAATGCAATCTAGGATTGTATAGGCATTTTTTACTGCTGCTGCACACCACTGACTCATATTTAAATGATTATCCACTAGGACTCCAAGATCACTCTGTTACATTTGGGTGGTGTTTTTTTTTTTTTCCCCTAAGAATAAAACCTTACTTTTCTCTACTTTGAATTTCATTTTGTTAGATAGGGCCAAATGTTCATGTCTGTCGAGATCCATCTGGATTTTCAGCCTATATTCTATGGTATTCTTTGCAGTTTAGTGTTGTCAGCAAATTTGATGAGTTCCCCTTCTATTCCCTCATCTAAATCCTTTATGAAAATATTCTGTGCCTAAAACAGAACCTTGAGGTACCCCACTGCATACTTCTTTCCATGTAGCTCAAGTTTCATTAAGGTCTGCTCATTAAATGGAATTTGTTAGCCAGTTACAAATCCATCTGATGGTGATGCTGCCTATCCCAATTTTTTTTTTTAACTTACCAAGCAGTAGGTTGTGGTCTACTTTATCAAATGCGTTACTGAAATCCAAGTATAGTATGTCTGCTGCATTTCGCTGGTCCACTAATTTAGTCACTTTGTAAGAGAGTGCAGGGTGATGCGGTGGTTCAGTGGCTAAGATGCTGAGCTTGTCGATCGAAAGGTTGGCAGTTCAGCAGTTCAAATCCCTAATGCTGCGTAATGGGGTGAGCTCCCATTACTTGTCTGCCAACCTAGCAGTTCAAAAGCATGTAAAAAATGCAAGTAGAAAAATAGGGACCACCTTTGGTGGGAAGGTAACAGCATTCCGTGAACCTTTGGCATTTAGTTATGCCGGCCACATGACCACTGAGACGTCTTCAGACAGCACTGGCTTTTAGGCTTTGAAACAGACTGCCCCCTAGAGTTGGGAACGACTAGCATATATGTGTAAGGGGAACCTTTACTTTTACAGGACATGTACTGATTTATATATGTTCCTAGAGAGCAGAAAAGTTATAAATTTCTTTAAGTGGCACCAATAATAGATTAATGGCTCTTTTTGAATGAATATTTGACTGTTTTGGTATATTTCACTCACAATGGGTTTTTTTTTTAAATTATTATTCAAAAACTACTGGTAAGCTTTTGAATAAAACCCAATAACCTTTAAGCCCTGAAGCACCACTGCTATATTCTTCTCTGCTAATCAGAACCATGTGCTGAAAAGTGCAAACTATGTCTGAGCGGGCAGACATTGGGGTTATATTTTTTATAATGGATTCCAAAGTTTGGATACTTCCCTTATACCCCCTGCAACATCCAGGCTTGAAAATGTTCTAACTTAACCAAGTTGTAAGGACTGAGTATATTTTAAAACAGATTTTAATAATGATGCATTCTGTTTTTAGAAAATTGTTGTTGTTGTTGTTAGTTGCAAAGTCATGTCCGACCCATCGTGACCTCCTGGACGTTCCTCCTGGCATTCCTGTCCTCTACCATCCCCTGGAGTCCATTTAAGCTCACACCTACTGTTTCAGTGACTCCATCTAGCCACCTCATTCTCTGTTGTCCCCTTCTTCTTTTGCCCTCAATCATTCCCGGCATTAGGCTCTTCTCCAGTGAGTCCTTCCTTCTCATTAAGTGGCCAAAATATTTGAGTTTCATCTTCAGGATCTGGCCTTCTAAAGAGCAGTCAGTGTTGATCTCCTCTAGGACTGACTAGTTTGATTGCCTTGCAGTCCAAGGGACTCGCAGGAGTCTTCTCCAGCACCAGAGCTCAAAGGCCTCAATTTTTTGGCGCTCAGCCTTCCTTATGGTCCAACTTTCACAGCCATACATTGCAACTTTAGAAAATTATCTAGTCCTAAATGTTAAAATTTCACATATATTTACCAATGAGCAAGAAATATAAAGTTAAATAAATTTTAATTGTAGCTAATAGTAAGCATGGAAAACTGCTGGATTAGGACTGAGCAACCAGTCAGCTCAAATATATAATTTACTAGAAAATTGTAGGCAGACACATTTCTCAACCTTTAGGCTTGTAATGTGGAAAATGTCATGAGGATGCTCATGCTGGCATAAATACCTTGGATGAAAACTATATATTCATTTAAAACCAAATTGGACTTACAGAAATTCTAGTATTTACACATTGTCCTAATCCTAAACTTTGTCAGATTAACCCTGCCCAGGGCCCAAGGTCAGTAGCCATCTTGCAATTTCTTATCTTTTAACCCTGCATTTTCTCTTCCTTGCATTTCCTAACTTTGGACAGATAATACCTTACTGTATTTTTCCTCTTGCTGACATGTTCTCCTGCAATGCACACAAAGTATCTTCTCAGATGTCTTCAGACCATTGAAATATCTAAAACATCACAGGTTGTGAGTTTGGGCATGAAGCCAGATGGGTGACTTTGGATCAGTCTCTTGTGCTCAGCCCCAATAAGAAGAAGGCAAGTGCAACCCATTTCTGAAATTATTGCTAAGGTCAGAAGTCAACACTAACTTGAAGACATAAACAAACCTACTCATACCTTATCATGTATGCCTTTTGAATTATGCTTATATTTTTTTGGCAAAGGTTTGATGGGCTAGTTTCTTTTATATACAATTGTACCGAGGGGCAGAATTTTACATTTCATTGAATCCCTGATATTGATTGTGAATGACCAAGATGTGGAATATAATGGATTATAAGTGTCATTCTATCTAACAATTTCTTATCCCAAACATTTTTAGGTGAATGTGCTAAAAATCAAACAAAAGAAAAGCATGAAACAAAAGGCAAAAACAAGCTGTATTCCTTTTTATGATAGAAATTGACAAAATCAAGCATTTTCATAAGCTTCAGCATTCTCCTCTGAAGTTTATGGAAACTTTATGGAAATCACAATGTAGGTTGTTTCTAATTCTGCGATATAATTCACATTTGATTTTCCTCCTCCAGTTCTCAGAATTTGGAGAAAGGGATGTTAGGGTGGTATTGTTATAGTAGACAAAAAAAATTAATGTTTTTAAAAGGAAGACTCCAGAAAAGACTTCTTGTCGTTTTTTTGGCTGTTTAATATCTTCATGTAAGTTTGTAATTAGTTCAGAATCTTTCCTCTGCATTTTGATTTTTACTACTGTAAGCATGGGTGAGAAAACATGCAACAGTACTGCCTCAACCTACGGCTCAGGATTATAAAATATGTTACTTTTAAAGAATTTTACAGTTCACAATGGACCTTGTTGTCATAAAAATGTTTTTTTGCTATATGTTTTATTTTCTTTTTGTTACCAAGCCTTAAAGATATACCAGCTAAAAGAGACATGATTAAGGAAACAATTCCTGTCCTTTCTGAACCATACCATTGGTATGAGGTTGGGGGGGGGGGTTCCCTCTGAAAAAGTAAATATAGCCTTTTGCTTGTTTAGATGAATTACAGAACTTTAGCAACAAATTATTTTTTTAGAAGGATACATAAAAGAAGCTGCTAGGAGAAGAATGGAACAAATAAAGTGACAAGTTATCAAGTGAAGGAAAACAGAGTGGAATATTAGTAATAGCAACAAAACTTTATCAGGATTTCTCAGCAAAGGTATTGAAATAGGTAGCCAATATGAACAAGAAAGAATCAGGGTATTCTGCAAGTTTCTGTGTATTTCTTGGATTTGTGTGTGTTTTAATTCCCAGTCCTTTTGTACAGCTGCAGGGGGTGGGTGAAGGGTGTGTGTGTCATACCTTGCCCAAAAGAAAGTCAAAGGAAAAAAAATCCATCCCTGAACCACAGCCTGCAGATTTGGGGAGCAAAAGCAATGAACAAACAATGAACAAAGAAAGAAACATTATAGCAGCAAAAGCAGAAGGATCAGCATATACGGACAGAGGCAAAATATAGCAAAATCTTCATCTTTTCCTTTTGCATAGAATTGTTTTTCTGTTCAATTTTCCCAGTTTTTTTTATTCCCTGCATGATTAATATGCATATTATCTTAACAAGATGAAGTGGCAAATCTCTTTTGGGAGATATTGGATGTTTGAGGGGGGGGGCAAAGGTCTTCACAGGTTGAGTTGTCCCCACAGATTCTGAATTTGTGCTGTGCTTTATTGAACACTGGGTTTTGTTGTCAGTGAGCACAATGAGATTCAAGCAGTACAGACAATGCATTCCTTATTTACACGATGGGATGAGCCTGTTTCAACCACTAGCATGATAAAGATGTAGAATGGGCTTATATACAAGAGGAATTGCCTTCACATTACACACATCATCTTTCTACAAAGCAGTAATTCCGTTCCCCCGACAAATAATAAAATATTAAATAATCGATAGAATTTTTTTGTGCTTCCTGCATAGTCCACTCCAAAGGAATCTATATGAATATTGAAGGATTGGGGTTATTATTTTTTTTTTGTTTAATATCATCGCATACATCCCCATTTCAGTTCCTAATTGTAACTATAAGTCTGCTTTACAATGCAATCTTTAAATGGAATTCAAAACAACCAGGGTCCAACATAGAAATTCTTTGGCAAATGTTATGCACACATTTGCAGGTGGCTCTTGAAAAAAAAAAGAGCTGGAAGATAGACCAAGGCACAACTTGGCCCTTTGAATAGGATGTTCCAAAGTCAACTGCTTGCCCTTCTAGTGATCATATGCCAGACCAAATCAAAGTTTGTGTAATTTTATCCATGTCAATGGCCTGAAGTTAAGCCAAAAGTTATGAACAATAACACATTCACTTTTCTACCAGTTATTTTTTTAAAAAAAAATGAATAACAGATCAGATTATTCCAGTTACTCTTTCCCTAATGATTTCCTGGGTCAGAGGTTTTCAAAAGATGAGATTATTCTTCCATTTTGGCATAATCAAGTTGAGGGAATACATGAATGATCTTCAGGGATATGTTGGACCCTAATTAGTTTTTAGAATGGCTCAAATAGCGATTCCCAATTGTTTGGGAATCCATATTTAATGCTATTGTCCGGGCAATTTTAAATATTACAATAACCAGATGATTAACTATGTATGTTAATGATGATAATTGGTTTTTGTTGCCTTTAATCTTAAAATTAATTTGGGATAAAGGTGTCATTGAAATGATTTTTGATTGCAAATCTTTAGTAGGCTATAGAAGGTATAAAAGAATAAGTGCATTTCCAGATCTTTTAATTTGGGGCTATCAATAAAAATTCTTTTTTTAATTAAAAAAAAAAACACAGCCTAGATGATTTTTGTGATCCAATAATAGCAACACATTTCAATGGTATTATGGAGAACAACAGAAAGAGTTCTGGCTCATGGCAATGGTCATGAGGGATAATCTCATGGAAAGGCTCTATAAAGCAAAAATACAACCATTTCTTAGAACCCAATATTGACAGTTTGTTGATTTGCAAAGCCTCCTGCTTTAAGGTTGCTTGAAAGTGGATCTATCCTCTTGGAGAATGTATCAAATGGGAGGCAAGCAAGTATATTTAGTTGTCTATGAACACTTGCTCCTCTCTTATCTCAAAAGCTCCTAATGAGAAGACCTTGCTTCTCTTTGGAGGGTTTAACATTAGATATACACAAGATGCATATGAGCATCTTGTGCTCCCTACAATCATTTACAGTAGTGGCCAAAATTGTGGAAACCTTTTGGGAAAAGTGTATTTTTGAAGTTTGATGGCTAATGACACCACTTTTTTTTTTTTTTTTTTGGAGTTTCAAGATAATCCTATTCCATTGCTGGAATGGCCTGGGAATAGCCCAGATCTTAACCCAATTGAAAATCTATGGAGCCGACTAAAGAAACTTGTTAGTCAGAAGCGACCCAGCAATAAAACCCAGTTAATAGAAGCAATCATTCAATCTTGGTTTCACATTAGAACAGCTGCAGAACTAAGACTTGGTTCACTCCATGGAAAGATGTTGTAAGGCCGTAATTCATGCTGAAGTTACCCAACTAAGTATTAACTGACATGGTGATCAGTTTTGTATACCTTGATTTTTCTATGGTGATAATTTTTGTATATCTCATTTTTTCTACGTGTTTCACTTTTCTTCTTCATACTGTAACTGCTATTCTAATAGCTAATCCTTCACAAGTTATTGCATTGCATTCTTGATTAAATTATCTTTCCATTGATATATAATTTTATGGTACTACTTCAAAAAAAAAAGTGGTGTCATTAGCTAGTTTTAGAAAATACACTTTTCCCAAAAGGTTTCCACAATTTTGGCCATTACTGTATGTAAATTGTATTTCCTTTCTTCTCCAGGTCCGACAGAAAATCTCTACTTGCGGAAAAGGGAAGTGATAATTCTTCTCTCTCTCTGCTCAGGAGGAAGGAGGGAAAATCTTTTTCAATATTGTGGGAGATAGTGCTCAAGAGTGCAGGACATTGACAAAGATGACCTCTTCTCCCTTCTCTGTATAGATCAGGAGATCCTAGACTGGATTATCTTGAGAGACTTCACTAACTCACTGAAGGAAACACTAGATTTTAATAAGTCTGAAATCCACCATGGATTTCATCATGATCATGCATGATGTTCCATATTTTTTATAGGATTTACAACATTCTTACATTATGACAAGACATTTGCATAAAGGGTATTTTAATAATGGAATATTGTTATGGCAAGAAGAGGTAAGACAGTTACGGTGAAAAAGGTCCACTTCATTTGCATGTCATTTGCTTTAAGTGAGAATTACATGGAAATTAGAACACATACCGTATTTTTCGGAGTGTAAGACGCTCCGGACTATAAGACGCACCTACCTTTTTTGGCGAGGAAAACAAGAAAAAGAAATCTGCCTCTGCCTCCCAGCAATTTTGCCTCATTGCAGCAAACAGCAAACAGCCTGCTTTACTTTCATTTTTGTTTTCAGCATAGCTTGATTAGCACAAGAAAAAAAATCTGCTCCCAGCAATTTACCTCCTTGCAGCAAGCAGCAGAGGCCCGCGCAGCAATAGGCAATGGCAAACCCTGCAGCCTGAAACAGCTGAGAGTCGGGAGGCCGATCAAACTGACAATCAACTTGTGCTAATTAGGCTGTGCCGAAGCTGAAATGGGCTGTTTCTTCTTGCTGCTTGCTGCAAGGAGGTAAACTGCTGGAAGGCAGAGGCCAAAGGGTGGTGGCCAGTGGGTGGGCGTGGCTACATTCGGTGTATAAGATGCACCCAAATTTTCACCCTCTTTTGGGGGGGGGGAAGGTGCGTTTTATACTCCGAAAAATACGGTAAGAAGAGGCTTTGGAAATGAAACCTTTTGCTCTAGGAGGCATCCTATGCTGTCACTTTCCTTCATGACTCTCACTCTGCTAAAAGAGGAGTGGGTTGCTCTTCTCCTTTCTCTGAGGCCAAGACCCTACTAGACGTAGTCAAGTTTTCACAAATCCGAGTTTTAAAATTTCTTTTATTATGTATCTTATAATTTTTTATTTCAATAAAAGGGAAGGAAGCCAAGAAAGCAGAGCCGGAGAAAGGCCATGATATTAGCATTTGAGATGCAATGGGCCCAAGCGAAGCCCCCCCAACAGATTTGGGCAACCACAAGGAAACAAAAAACATATGGTCAATGTGGGGGGGGGGAGGGGAATCTTCAACTTATTTCACACAGAATAGCAGGCTTGAGCAATTGGCGAGAGAGAGAGAATTATGGCATAGCCAAAAAAAAAAAAGAAGAAAGAAAGAAAGAAAACAAAAAAAAAACAAAACCCCAAGATAGATCATAAGATTGATCCAGATAGGTGATAGGCATTGTGTGTGATTTTTATATAATGCTATATTGTCTGTGGCATTAGATGGCAAGTTTAGAATGAGTTTGAAATTTTAGATTTGGCATGAATTGGCAATGGCACAATCGCTTATCTGCCCATTCTCAAATCAAGTTGTGACCAAATTGTAAACATGCGGCTGGTGTGCGTGTGTGTATCCTTTCTTTTGTTTCTGTAAATTAGAAGAGAAGGCCTCACATTCTGGAACTGAAATCTATTTTTCTAATATTTCAACATTTTGTTTTGCAATATGTCATTTCTCATACTTTTATTCCTACCTGATGTTTCTATATGAATGGCAGAAACTGAAAGGTAGCGAACCAAAATAATAATAATAATCTCTGTTTTAAATGGAATTATTTGGATTCGTTGTCAGTTGCCCAAACTATTAAATTCCCCAGCAAAAAGCAATATTTTGGCTGGCAACTAATCAAATGCATGGTACACATAAAGAATGGATTTTCATTTTTTTCCTAAATTGTTGCCAAATTTGTATATTGTGCAGATGGCTGCCCACAAAATATACTCGCTCTTCTCATTGCCATACATGAATATTCCTGTGTGCATAAAAGGAAAAGAATGAAACCCAGGAAAATGTGTCTATCATTGAAGTTGGGGTGGCATTTCAGCTTACTCTATCATGACTTTACTTTTTCAGAAAACTGGGGTATCATTTATTTTCCTCCTCCATTTATAGACTTTCAGGACAAAGCATTAAAAGCAGTTATATTTATATATCCACTTGTATAGTTCTTCATTCTGATGGTTGGTTGACATCTCTCCATCCTTCTTTCTGACTTTGACTCTCTATGTTTTATGGGTGTGATTGCTTGTTCACCTTCAGCTTGTAAGATTTTGACAAACAGGATGTAAATAAATGGTCAACCTTCAAATGAGAAGAAAGCAAGACCTAATTACTTCAACCAACCTATATAGGAATGAGAGGGAATGTACCACACAAGGAAACCTTTGTGAAATACAGCAGATGATGCACAGTCTTTCCCCCTTCATTAGGCTGAGCTGCATGTTTCCCTCATGCTTCTGGAAATTTGACTGTTGATCATTCTGAGTTCTTTTTCATAGATGATCATTTTTAGGGGGCGGGGGGGGAGACAATGAATTATAAGTAGCATTCTCCTCTGCTACTGACTGCCCATATCACTCTCCATTCGTCTGACAGTTAGAGAAGACTCATGTGGAAGAAATTGAAGAATTCACCCAGGAGGAGTCTGAAATATTGCAGTGGTAATTTGCAACAGAGACAGCAGAACCACTGGCCACAAACTTGGTGTTCCCATTACCCAAATGGAGTAGCTTGGCTAGTTTGCAAGGGATATGACATTTTTCAGTCTTGTGATGTCAGTAAATTCTGCAGTCTGAAAGAATACTGAGGAATAGAAGGTGGAGGGGAGGGATGTTGTTTTCTTCCAGGCGGTGCAGAATGTCCATCAGACAGGTACAATATGGAGGCCTAGGCTGTCACCCTGCAGTTTCATGTGGTTTCCATGGTAGTTAGTGGCGGTCATAGGCAGCGGCAGCAGTGGGAGGTGCGGAGCCCCGGGATGTGGCACTATAATAATAAGGGGAACCTGAAAGTTAACACAGGAGAAGAATGGACTGATTGAAAGGACATACAGTAAAATAAAATAAGAAAAAAAGAAAGGAAGAACAGAAAGAAAGCATATTAAAAAGGAACTGGAAATAGAAATCTGAAAATGAGGATTTCTTTATGGACTAGATCAGGGGTCTGCAACCTTAAACACTCAAAGAGCCATTTGGACCAGTTTCCCACAGAAAAAAAAACAAACACCAGGAGCCACAAAACGCTTCCCGTGCCTGACTATTTCTTGATTGGCCACAAAACTAGCATAGGTAGTTAAATTAAATGTTCTTTTTTCTTCTGAAACTGTTCTTTTCTTGGATTTATCTACGGTTGGCCTACCAGGGGTTGAAAAGCTCAATAAATTGTGTGCTGGTGGGTGTCGCACATTGGCGGTTGTGACACATATTTTGAGTGACAGGGAGCCGCAGCAGAGGGGTGAAAGAGCCACATGCGGCTCCAGAGCCACAGGTTGCTGACCCCTGGACTAGATGTAAGATAAGAAAACAACACACACAGTATATGTGTACTGTATCATGCACAGAAAGCTAAATTACTTGGATTATCTAGTGCTTGTTATCAGTCCTATTAGTAATAGCCATAGCACTTCTATACTGCTTCACAATGTTTTTACAGCCCTCTCTAAGCAGCTAACAGAGTCCGCATATTGTCCCCAACAGTCTAGTTCCTTATTTTACCCACCTCAGAAGGATGGAAGGCCAAGTCAACCTTGAGCCTGGTGAGATTCAAACTGCCAAATTGCAGGCAGCCGGCAGTCAGCAGAAGTAGCCTGCAGTGCTGAACTCTAACCACTGGGCCACCGCGGCTCTATTCAAGACATTCCACTCAGAAGAAGAGGAAAACAAGAACTTGGCAGCTCTAACTTAGATTCATCTGTTGTCCTATTAACTACCAGCAACAATTGAATATGTCTAATTTATTCTGGCCAGCTTGGCTGTTTTTTTTTTAATACTGGAATTTCTTTTTGTTTTATCAGCCCTCTATAAGCCTGCAAGAGTCGTTAATGTGGGTGGTTTTAAAAAGTAAGTAAATAAAAAAATAAAATAAAAACATTTTTGTTGAATCTTTTCATTTCCATGGTCCAAAACCATTCTGGATAATACTCAGTCCTCAATGGAGAAATGTAGAAGCTCGCAAAAGAAGGAGGGAATCTAACAATACTACTTCTCTTTCTAATTCCAATAGCAGCAATGCCCACCTTAGAAGAAGTATGCAGGAAATATAAGCAGCTTCATTATTTGGAATGCTTTCCATTCTGAGGAAGTACATGAAGTACAATAGTACCGTATTTTTTGGAGTATAAGATGCACCGGACTATAAGACGCACCTACCTTTTTTAGTGAGGAAAACAAGAAAAAGAAATCTGCCTCTGCCTCCCAGCAATTTTGCCTCGTTGCAGCAAACAGCCTGCTTTACTTTCATTTTCGTTTTCAGCATAGCTTGATTAGCACAAGAAAAAAAAAATCTGCTCCAGCAATTTACCTCCTTGCAGCAAGCAGCAGAGGCCCGTGCAAAACAGCTGAGATCAAAACAGCTGAGAGTTGGGAGGCCGAGCAAATCAACTTGTGCTAATTAGGCTGTGCTGAAGCTGAAAGGAGCTGTTTCTTCTTGCTGCTTGCTGCAAGGAGGTAAACTGCTGGGAGGCAGAGGCCAAAGGGTGGGGGCCAGTGGGTGGGCAGGGCTACATTCAGTGTATAAGACGCACCTAAATTTTCACCCCCTTTTAGGAGGGGAAAAAGGTGCATTTTATAGTCTGAAAAATATGGTGCTTTTTTATATAAAACAAATCTACCTGATCTGTGCAAAACTGACTCTCTGTGTATATTAAATATTTAGCAAAATCAGGCTTAGAACAGATCTGAAAATCAAATTTAAAAAGTGGCAATAGAATTGTTGATTGGGCTGAAGGCATCTCTGAATAAAGTGTAAGATATGTATGAATAAATGTTTACGATTCAATATTTATTCAAAGAACTTTGGTAGCTGATCTTAAGAACTGGATTTTATGAAGCTTTAAGTTTTTAAATAAAAAAAAGGCACACAACATAAAAAATTACCGTATTTTTCAGAGTATAAGATGCACCGGAGTATAAGACGCACCTTAGTTTTTGGGGAGGAAAGTAAGAAAAAAGCTGATTGGCAGGTGGATCGGCCTCCCGGAATACCCCTGATCAGCTGTTCCCAGAGGTGAATTTTAGCAACAGGTTCCTTGGTTGTGAGCTCTGTGCCTTGCTTTTTTTTTCTGCCTCTGAAACTTCTGAAACTCTGTTTCAGAAAAAACTTTTTTTCCTGCCTCTGAAAGCCTCCGAAACAGAGCTTCAGAAAAAAAAGCCTCTGAAGCTCTGTTTGGGGGCTTTTTTTTCTGAAGCTCTGTTTGGGGCTTCTTTTCTGAAGCTTCATTTCTGGTGTTTTTTCAGCCTCTGAAACTTCCGTTTGAGAAGCTGGGCGGGGCTACATTCGGAGTATAAGACACACCCAGATTTTCACCCTCTTTTTGGGGGGGAAAAGTTGTGTCTTATACTCCGAAAAATACGGTACACATATGTAATAGCAAGATTACACTAAATGCAATAGCAGACCATACGACACATATTTTATTAATAGGTGTACACATTCCCAATAATTTTCAAGAGATCTATGTTTTCCGGTTTATACTCTTGGGTGTGCACATAATGGTCATACATTAGCAATTGCTACAGAAATATGATTGATTAAAAACTGCATATTATAAATTTTAAGAAATATTATTTATTTATTTATTTATTTATTTATTTATTTATTTATTTATTTAATTTGATTTATATGCCGCCCTTCTCCAGAGACTCAGGGCGGCTTACAATGCGTTAAGTAATAGCCTTCATACTTTTGTATATTTATACAAAGTCAGCTTATTGCCCCCACAAACTGGGTCCTCAATTTACCTACCTTAGAAAGGATGGAAGGCTGACTCAACCTTGAGCCTGGTGAGGTTCGAATTTACAGTAATTTCAGACAGCTGGTGTTAATCACAATGCTATCAGTCTGCTGAGCCACCAGGCCCTTTTTCTATCTATTTATCTATTTAAAACATATACAATTGCCCATCTTAAATCTGGGCAGCTCCCACTCAGAAATATGTAATTCTTAATTCATTACCTTAATGAATTACGTTGGAAGTGGTCACTTAAACTATCAAACTCAACCTCCTGTTCACTGTGAAGGACACTGTTGACTCTAGCTTCCTTGACATTTTGTTTATGGTTTGTTCTAGGTGGGTTTTTTTCAGCTCTTTTGTAATTTTTTAAAAGAAAAATATTGCAAGTGCTCCATGGCTTTATTTAAAGGCATTACAATGTTCGCAGTTTTATTTCACATCAGCTAAGATTTAATCAATGCACGTGAAGATAGGATTATTTTCCCTCAGTATCCATTACTTTATAGGAGCATTATCCAACTTGGTGTGAAACTCAAATTCAGAAGAATTCAGAATAGACTCTTGTCTGAAGTATAGAGGACAGCTCCAGCATGCCCTGTTCTAATTCAAAATTACAGGAAGCAGCAACAACCCGCTCACCACCACCATCCCCCCCCAAAATGGGGGCAAAATGTAAATGTAAACATTTTGTTTATGTTGGAAGAAATATCCTTCTGGGCTCAGTTCCAAGTGGGGAAAAAGACACTGGATTCATGGAAGCTGCTTGGAAAGAAGGTTTATTGATGAACAGGATCACATGCCTTGGAGATCTTGGGCGAAAAAGAAAGGGAAGAGATGCTGAGAGTCCCTGGGTTTTATACCCTCTCTGGCTTTGAACTTCCTGGGGCACAGGAAGAGTATCCTGATTGGTTGCTGTCAGAGGTCATGGCTAGCTTTGTAGGTTGTCTGTGTGCTAAGTTTGGTTGAATCTTGCTGGGTGATGCAACGAAGGGCAATTAAACGGCTCTGCCTGAAGGCGGTAGATCTTTGTTATGTAGAATGAACTGGCTCAGGCCTTAATGGCCCATTAACAAAGGTGGGAGGGGGGCTGAGTTTCTGCCTCCCTTTTAGGGGAAATATTCTGCCCTTTTAATATTTCCTAAAATATTTCATTTTCTAGGAGAGGGGTAGGTTTTAACTTCCTACACTTAGAAAAAACATCTTGATGAAAAGGGGAATACTGGATTCAGTGACAGGAAGAGCCCAACGTCAGTTCATTTTCAGTTTTTTGGGTTGGCGGTAAAAGTTTTTGAGTCCCCAATAAGATAGAAGTAAGTAGGAAAACGAAAGCAAAGAAACAAGCAGGTCAACAGAAAGGGATGGAAAAGGGTCGAGAGAACCTTAGGGAATACTCACTTAGTAATGCAGGATTGCTGAACCTCCAAGCCTCATTGTAGGTTGTGTACTGAGGGTGGCTGTAAGGATTGCCTGAGAATTCACTCCCTGGAAAAAAACCACAGAAGGGTGTCATTCACACCATAATTCAGACAGAGAGGAAAGGGAACAAAATTGCATTAGTACTTGACAAGAGAAGAAAGTCATTTTACTGGCTACAATCTGCTGGGCATCTTGTAGTGCAATTCTACCAATCCCAAGAAACACTGCAGCAAACAAGAAAGTCTTAACAGTAGATTGGCAAAAGAGACAAAATGGGAAATTGGGGGAAATGAAGTTTTGTCTAATACATTAATGTAATAAGGAGTTTTCAGGTGCAATTTCCTTTGGAATTTGTGTTAAGAATCCTCTAAGAAAGATCACAGCCAGAGGTGGGATTCAAATAATTTACCTACCGGTTCGCCCAGCACTGAAAATGTGAACACATGTGCGCGCCACCTCCACGCATGTGCCTGGCCTTCCGTGCACGCGCTTTGCTTTCTCTCACTCCTTCTGTGCATACACCCGGCCTCAAAAACGTGCTTAAATAGGACAGCAAAGAGCCGGGGCGGGTGAGGGTGCCCACACGTGATTTCTGCTACCGGTTCGCCCGAACTGGTCCGAACCGGCTGAATACCACCTCTGATCACAGCATATCTAGGGACAAATTGCAGCCAGCAGAGTGGGCAGTTGTAAAAGCTTTCTCATTTTGAGGTGGTTGAATCTAAGTAGAACTTCCAATAAGAAAGCAACAGGCTCTTTCCCAATAAAAGTCAGGTGGAAGATTCTTTACAAGGCCCATTTATGTAAAAGGGGGCTTAAATGCTTCCTTTATTTTTCTATATTGTCACTCAATTTGTTTCTACATTTATTCTGAAGTGCAGGTTAAGTAAAGAACTTCTCACTCACTCTTCCTCTCTCTCTCCAGACCAGTCAAGGGAAGGCAGAAGCACCATATGTGCACAATGTTTATTGACAAGGAGTTAAAGGAAACGAGCTGCAGGATAATGAGCTTTTGAGCTCAATTGCGACCAAGAGGAACCAGTTATCTCCTTTTGTGATCACTAATGAAACATGTAATTTTCTCATCAATGCTAGATTCTGTTTAACTGCTCTCTTTGGAGAAGGCTAGGGCTGTGACCTGTTTCACGGCAGTCCTAGAGCTTTTCTGTTGAAGCTCAAAATGCTCCAGAAAAAAATGCTCCAGAGGAAGAAATTAGGAAAGGCCAGTTTCCGGGAGGATAACCGAAAAAGCAAAGGCTCCCAGAACACTGCAGACAGGCCTGCTCACTTTGTCACTAATCTCATTAGCAATAATGCAAAAAACAGGTTTTATACAAAAATTCCAGTATCTATAAACAAAGAGACTTTAGAACAGGGGTGAAATCCAGCAGGTTCTGACAGGTTCTGGAGAACTGGTAGCAAAAATTTTGAGTAGTTCGGTGAACCGGCAAATACCACTTCTGGCTGGCCCCAGAGTGGGGTGGGAATGGAGATTTTGCAATATCCTTCCCCTGTCATGCCCACCAAGCCACACCCACCAAGCCACACCACGCCCACCAAGCCACGCCCACAGAACCGGTAGTAAAAAAAAATTGGATTTCACCACTGCTTTAGAATCGTAGGTTTGGAAGGGATTTTGGAAGTCTTCTAACTCAGCCTCTGTTCAAGGAGACCTTATATCAGTGTCCACCCCCTTTTGGGCACCAGGGACTGGTTCTGTGTAGGGAGCTTTTTTGGCAGACTGGAGTGAGGTGGGGGTGGGTGGGGGCTGGTTGCACATGCTTTCTGGATCCTGCATGTGTGTCAATGGGGCTTTGTTTGCTTGCTGACACAGTTCCTGATGGTGCTGGTCCGTGGCCCAGGGGTTCAGGACCCCTGCCTTATACCAACCCAATAAAATGTCTGTCGAGTCTGCTTTAAAAACCTCCAGCAATGGAGCACCCACAACCCCAGGAGGCAAACTATTCCATTGGTTAATTGCTCTCACTGTCCTTACTTTTAGGTTGAATCTCTCTTTAACAAGCTCCTACTAATTAGTTCTTGTCTTGCCCTCTGGTGCCCCAGAGAATAAGTCAATCTACTCTTCTTTGTGTCAGCCCTTTAGGTTCTGGAAGATAGAGATCATGTCCCCTCCTTCGTTCTCTTCGGTAGACTAAATATAGCAATAGCACTTCGACTTATATACCGCTTCACAGTGCTCTACAGCTCTCTCTAAGCGGTTTACAGAGTCAGCACATTGCCCCCAACAATCTGGGTCATCATTTTACCAGCCGAGAAATGATGGAAGGCTGAGTCAACCTTGAGCCATGTGAGATTCGATCTGCCAAACTGCTGGCAGCTGGTAATCAGCAGAAGTAGCCTGCAATCCTGCACTCTAACCACTGCGCCACCACGGCTCTATATCTAACTCCCTCAACTCTTTGTCATATGATTTAGCCATAAGACCCTTTATCATCTTCTCTATAGGGTTTCCCTATATATTGTTGGGGATTTTACCAGAAATGTATAGTAAAGAAAATGTGTACTTGATTATTCATGTAATAACTGCAGCTAGAGTTGTATTTGTACAAAATTGGAAAAGTGAAGAGATCCCTACGGATGAGAATGTGATTAAGAAAATATTAGAACGTGCAAAAATGAATAGATTAACACTTGCAATTAAAGGAAAGGAAGAATCTGGCTATTATAGTATATGGGAGTTATTTTATCAATGGTTAGAGAATAAATATGAAAATTAGAAATAAAAGCAGAGGAGTGAAATATCGAAAATGTATTACAAAGTCAAATAAGCTAAGAAGAGAAATGTTACAAATAGTAGATATGTTATATATTACTATTAATCCAAGAATAGATATAAATAATGAACATGGTTGTAAATTTTAATGGTTATTGCACAAAAAGTTTGTGCTCAGACGACACACTGTTTAATGAAAGATGAAATGTTTGTATTAAAAGAAATAATTTTTTTAAAAAAAGGGTTTCTAGGAACTCAACATCTTTTCTGTATTGCGGTGACCAGAACTGAGTGCAATATTCCAAGTATGGTCTCACCAGTGCAGTGTAAATCAGTACCATTACTTCTTCTTGTTGTTTTTTTTACTTTATCCTTCTGTTGATACAGCTTCGGACTGCATTTGCTTTTTTTGGGGGGGCAGCTGCAGCACACTGCTTACTCATACTTAAGTGGTGGCCCACTACAACACCTTGAGCCCTCTCACAGTCTCTACTGTTGAGCCAGTTACTACTGTTGAGCCATTTAGCAGGACCTTACTTTTCTCACCCACTGAATATCCATCTTGCTAGATAGGCCCAATGCTCAAAACTGTCAAAACTGCTCAACCCTTCCAAACTTTCTACCAAGTACTTGAAACTGAAGTTGCCTTGCAAAAAACTGTCCTAAGTTTATAGGACCTTTCCCCATCGTAAGAATCATCAACCCAGTCACAGTAGAGCTGAAACTCCCGTGTCTTCTAGGTCTTTCACAGCAGCTTATTGAAGCCGGTAGTAAGATCAGCGCTGAGGCTGGTAGCTCAGGCAGCCCCCGATCCTATCGTAGTGGAAGGGGAAACCCACTATGAAATACAAAGGATCCTAGATTCAAGACTATATAAGGGAAAGCTGTAAGGGTTATCCCCTGTCAGAAGCTACCTGGGTGAAGAGTAGGAATGTTAGAGCAGAGAGGTTAGTCAGGAAATTCCATGAAAAAGGAATTAGTAACAGTACTGCAGGCTACTTCTGTTGTGGTCTGCCAGCAGCCTGCGGAGCTGGACAGTGAGGAGTCTGGGGAGGAACATGGGCCAGTCCTGGAGCCTGGGGAAGGCTCGGACGAAGGCTCTGCATCAGAGGCAGAGATGGGGCCAGGGCCATCTGGGAGTTATGCACGGACTCCGGAGCCTCCAGAGTCGGACATCAGAGAGGCAAAGGAACAGGAGGAGCCTGTTCCTAATGTGCGCATACGCAGAGCTGCCAGAAGGCAAGAACAGTTAAAACAAAAGGGACGACTCGGGAGTAAGGCCTGGAGATGATTGGCCCCTCCCATAAGGCTTAAAAGAGGAGCAAAGGCATGTGGGCCCTTTGCAGGAAAGCAACGTTGTTAATTCTGTTCCCAGTTGGCAACTCTGTTTGATTCTGGACTCCCTGTGGCTTTGCCAAGTAGGTCTTTGGCAGAGCGTCAAGGGAGATAAAGGTTGGTGATTATCCCGAAGGACTTCTCCCAAAGGACTTTTTGCAACTAATTGGGACTCAGCTGTGAAGGAACGTAATTCACAGCTGTTGCAATAAAAGAGGTTTTTGGGACTACTCATGTGTTTTAATGATTCAAGAAGCCTAGGTCACAACAACTTCTGCTGCCTGCTACCTGCCTGCAATTTGGCAGTTCAAATCCCACCACGCTCAAGGTTGACTCATCCTTCCATCCTTCCAAGGTGGATAAAATGAGGACCCAGATTGTTGGGGGAATATGCTGATTCTGTGAACTGCTTAGAGAGGGCTGTAAAGCACTGTGAAGCGGTATATAAGTTCTAAGTGCTATTGCTATTGCTATTAAGGCACCAGGCCAGAATGTAGGAGGCCATGGTTTCTAGTTCTGCCCTACCCATGAAAGTTGGCTGAGTTGCACCAGTCTCTTTCAGCCCAAGTCACCTCATCCTATTGTTGTGGGGAAAACAGGAGGATGTGTTGGATATGTTCGCCACCTTGAGTTATTTGTGAAAATAATAAAGGCAGGATACAAATAAATAAAACATCCAGTCCCAATTTTTCTTGCTTCAGGCTGAGATATGTAATTGCATGTGGTCAATGTTGAGGTAGGAGCACAAGGCAGCCTGGGAGGTCATCTCACTCTATTGATAAATTTATATTTCCATATATTACTTGGCTGTAAACAAAATTGATTTCCTTAATACAGTGGAAATCAGAACTGAAAATAAATAGCATTAGGGGAAAAAAAAAAAAACCCAACCTTCTGAAATTGGAGTTGATCAAAACTTACTGAAACACCCTTCTGTGTAAGGCATTTAAAAAAAACAACAACATTCAATTATCTAAATAAAACTGAAATGGAAAGCAAGAAACCTTACCAGGCACCATTCCTGCAAGAGTTGATGTTGGGTAACTGCCTTGTCCAGTTGGTGGAACATGTGGTGGGTAGCCAGGCAAAGTTGTGCTTGCCATGTCACGACCTAAGAAGAAAAAAGGAGGGAGAACTGATTTCAATGTGGTAGTTCAAAATAATGAGTGTGAAGCAGAGTAATCCTACCTGGTTACCCCTACCCTAAAACTACTCATTCTCATCTTTAGTTCTCAATCTATGACATATTTTGGTTCCTCCAGATACTTAAAATGATACTTTTACTTTTGTCTGTTTTTGCAAATTTAATAAAAGGTGATAAATTTAAAAAATATTTGGAGCAACCAAAAGTTCAATAGACTACAAATGCTACACGGAATATAATTTGATACATAATATCTTATTTGGTGACAATTCCCAATTATTCAGTGTTTTGGTCAAAGCTTTTTTTAAAAAAAAAAAAAGTTGGGAAAAAGTCTTGACACCCTTTTGTTGTATGAATGATGAACTTCGTTTACTCTCTACTTTTTTCTTATACTACCTATACTACCTTATTCAGCATAAGAAACTGTTTCTGTTTTATTGATAACTAGCTGATGCCCTTGCTTCGCTGCAAAACTATGTGATCGGGCATGATAAATTGACACTTAAACCTGAAACTTAATGTAGAATATGTAACTCCGTAGCATCAGAGCATGTTAATATAAGGCAACTGGCAGTTGGAACAGAGGGGGAAGGGGAGTAGAATGTCCCAGTCTGCAGGCCGTATGAGTCATGCACTGGCTATGCCCACACCTCGTTTAGTGAAGTGTGTTAATATAAGGCAACTAGCAGTTGGAACAGAGTTCTTTTCAGAGGGGGAAGGGGAGTAGAACGTCGAACTCCTTAGCATCAGAGTGTGTGAATATGGATACATATACAATACTGTATATGAAATACTAATGATCTGATGGTCATTTTGAAAAATCTTTTCTTAGCGAGCACCTAGAAGCCAAGAAGAACATATGTGCCAAATTTCAAGTTTGTAGGCTTTACCGTTCTGGAGAGTTAGTGATGAGTGACTGGTATTTGGCTTATATATATACAGGCACCCTCCTAATTCAGTGAAATCCATGGAAGGTTTTCTCTGTTCCCGCTGCAGGCCGCAGTGTCATCAGCCCAAGGGTTTGGGTGTTTTCTACACAAACTGCTTTTGTGACAGATCCACTCTCTCTCAGAAAACTGTTGTTTATGCACAACCATCAGTAACCAGAGGTTTCGATTGGTAGGGTATACTTAATTCACTGGGCCTTGGCCATTTTCAGAAGTTCATAGCTAGAGCTTCAAGAAATGGCAACATCCCTGAGGATTCTTCCTAAGTTTTTCAATAGGCTGAATTATCTAAATCTTTAGGAATCTTTAATGCAATAAATTACCATATTTTTCAGACTATAAGACGCACCTGATTATAAGACGTACCTAAATTTAGAAGAGGAAAACAAAAAAAAAGTCTTTGGCCTCCCTTTTTTCGAGCCTTTTTGTTGGGCCTTTTTTTGTCTTTTTCCACCTGTTTTCGGGGCTTTTTTTTGACCTGTTTTCGAGGCTTTTTTTGGCCAATTTTTTTGGAAAAAAAAACGGGCTGAAAAAAGCCTCAAAAACAGGCCAAAAAAAGCCCAGAAAACAGGCCGAATAAAGCCTCAAAAGTGGGCCAAAAAAAGCCTCAAAAGTGGGCGGAAAATGCCTCACAAATGGGCCAAAAAGCCTTGAAAATGGGCCAAAAAGGCCGTGAGAATGGGCCAAAAAAAGGCCTGAGAAAGGCCGAAAAAAGGCCCGAAAATGGGGTGTGCAGAGGCCAACAAATGGCCGGCAGGTGGGCTTCAGCAATATTTGGTCTATAAGACGCACAGACATTTTCACCCCCTTTGGGGAGACAAAAAAATGTGTCTTATAGTCCAAAAAATACAGTACTTTATTCTAATGTGGAGCAAAGGCCTTCTAAAGATGAGAGGCTTTTCCATGCCTGCTTTGCGCTTTTTCATGTGTCGGCCATTGAAAAATGGGAAATGGTGAGTTCTCCACAATAGGAAGTAGGTCCAACTGCTTCTTGCAGTTCCAAAAGAACCCGCTCCTTTGGTGAGCCAAATAATGGGCCAAACTGTGTGTATGATGGGGATTAAATAATATTCAGGTGTAACTAATCATATTAAGAGCATCACAGAATTCTCTTGCTTTTAATACATGTAACATAATTTTCACTATGTCTGCAAACAAATTTAAACCTCAGCCAAGAAAAATGACTTCGACGATATTCCCACTTTGTAGGTTAAGCCGAAGGAATAAATCATTTATAATCCATAGAAACCCTACCACTAGAATCCTAGAGTTAGAAAGGGTAACTGGGGCCATGAAACAGAACTTCCTGCTCAATGCAGAAACCCAGATTAGAGCTTCCCCAATCTACCTCTGCTTTAATCTTTCTAACACAGAGGTAATTGGCTCAATTGTCAAATTGCCCAACTTTTAAGTTAGCTACATTTTAAGTGGTTGGCACTAAGTTTTCGATAACTCTTTGGTTATTTCATGTAACATGGAAACTGTGATGATAAGATTACAATAAAAAAAATCACATCACGTTATATGAATGAGGCCACCAAGTTACTGAAAACTGTATACAAGTAGTCCTCGACGTACGACCACAATTGGGCCCAATATTTATGTTGCTAAGTGAAACATTTGTTAAGTGAATTTTGCCCTATTTATGACCTTTCTTGCCACTGTTGTTAAGTGAATCACTGCAGTTGTTAAATTAGTAACATGGTTGTTATATGAATCTGGTTTCCCTTTGCTTGCCAGAAGGTTGTAGAAGCTGATACATAATCCCAAGGCACTGCAAACATCATAAATACGAGTCAGTTGCCAAGCATCTGAATTTTGTTCACATGGCCATGGGGATGCTGCAACGGTTGTAAGTGTGAAAAATGTCATAAGTCGCTTTTTTCCCAGGCTGTTGTAACTTCAAACAGTCACTAAATGAACTGTTATAAATCGGGGACTATCTGTATATGTTACATAAAGTACATACATAACATAGCCGTTATGATTTGTTAACCTTTTATACCCCATGAGGATTCTTTTCATTCATTTTAGTTGGGGTTTATATACCACCCCATCAGTGGTGGGTTTCAACCGGTGTCACCACCGGTTCGCTTCATGCAAGCGCAGTCTATTATGGAACAGCTGAGATGCAGCAATCCGCTCTGCCGCGCCTTTCAGATGGGCTAAAAATGACCAAATATAAGGTATGTATAATGCAGGGGTGTGCGGGAGGGCCAACATAACCGTCAGAGAGAACCGGTTCGTTCTCAGCTCACCATCGTCATCGCTACCGGCTCGCCCGAACCGGCCCAAACCAGTAGAAACCCACCACTGCACCCCATGCTTGCATAAACATTGCATTGCAAATTGCCCAGATATGCTCAGCATGTCAGCTTTGTCACTAGAGGCAAAAATCTTTTAAACCACTGCTACTGTACATTAAAAAATGTTTATCGTTCTCTTCCAAGAGCAGCTGTCGGCCACTCTGATCATCGTATGATTCCCCTCATAACTGCTTAAAGACAGAAACTTAAAACTGTAAAACCTGTAGCTGAAACAGTGAAGTCTTGGCAAAGGTAGAGTTACAGGCTTGCCTTGATTGCACAAACTGGAACATTTTCGAAGCTGCTTCAGCAGACTTTGATGAACTCATTGATGCTTATACTGTGACATCATATGTTAATTTTTGTGAGATCATGTGTGTGCTGACCAAGAACTTGTGCATATATTGTAGTAATAAACCTTGGTTCACAGTTAAGCTCAAGCAGCTTCGTTGTACCAAAAAGGAACCCTACAGGAATGGAGATAGGATGCTGTACAATCACACAAGAAATATATTAACAAAGGAGATCAGGGCAGCAAAGAGAAGCTACTCTGAAAAGCTGAGGAATCAGTTCTCAACAAAGGAGCCAGCAAATGTGTGGAAAAGTCTGAAGAATATCATTGGCTACAGCAGATCTCCCGCCCTTATGAACAGAATCGGCAATGGGCAGATAGCAATAGCATTTGCACTTAGACTTATATACTGATTCACAGTGCTTTACAGCCCTCTCTAAGTGGTTTACAGAGTTAGCATATTGTCCCCCAACAGTCTGGCTCCTCATTTTACTGACCTCGGAAGGATGGAAGGCTGAGTCAACCTTGAGCCTGGTGAGATTGCTGGCAGCCAGCAGTCAGCATTCTAATCACTGCACAACTGCAGATGATCTAAATGTGTTCTACTATAGGTTTGAGAGGAGATCACTGTCACTATTTTCTCTCTGTATCAATGACTGCATCTCTAAAAATCCCTCTGTTAAAAGTACTGAAGTTTGCAGATGATGCAACAGTCATTGGGCTCACTTGAGATGGTGATGATGCATCTGGAATAATTTGTACCTGAACATGCTTAAAACTGTAGGGATGAGAGTGGATGTTAGGAGGAATTCACCTATTCTTATCACCTCTTACTATATCAACAGTAAAGTCCTTCAAGTTTTGAGGTTCTATAATCTCCCAGGATTTGAAATAGATACCTAACATCAGAACCATCATTAGATACAAGATACAACGAAGAATATTCCTCCTGCATCATCTCAGAAAGTTCAGATTGCTCCAGGAGCTGTTGATACAGTTCTACAAAGGAATTATTCAGTCTGTCATTTGTTCTTCTGTAACTATCTGGTTTGGTACAGTAATCAAACAGGACAGTTATACAGTACAGACTTCAACAGCAGAGGTGGTATTAAGCTGGTTTGGACCAGTTTGCCTGAACCGGTAGCAGAAATTACGAGTGGGTCTGCCCTGTGCCATCCTATTTAGGCACGTTTTTGAGGCCGGGCACATACGTGGAAGGCAGGCGCGCGTGTGAACCGGTAGTAACATCATGTGAAACCTACCTCTGTTCAACAGATAATTAGGACTGCAGAAAGAAACAATTGCAACCAACCTGCCTTCTGCTGCATGGATCAGAAGGAAAGCTAAGAAAATATCTACAGACCCCTCCGACCCTGGACATAAACTGTCTCAACTCCTCCCCTCAGGACACCTGCTACAGAG